AGATTGAAGAGAAGAGAGAGGAAGCAATGAAGATGGAAGAACAAATAAGCATAAAAGATGTGGACGAGTGTTGAAAAACCTTTAAAAAAGAGGGACGTCACCAGGAGCAGATGGACTACCTATGGAATTTTATGAGAAGTTTTGGCCAGGGGTAGGGCGGGGATATAGTAAAAGTTTTTGAGGAAATAACAGAAACAGGAGAAGCAGGGAAAGATTTTACAAGAGGTGTTGTGATCTTACTCCTTAAAAAAGGAGAAGGAACTCCTGAAAAACTGGAGACCAATGACACTCCTTAATATAGATAAGTTAAATTGCCAAGATGCTGGCTTTGAGAATGAGGAAAAACCTCCAGAAATTAATACATAAAGACCAAATATGTGCAGTACCAGGTACAAGGATATCTGAAGTGATCAGAGTAATCAGAGATACACTGGCCAACATCCAAGGGAAGAAAACATACCCAGTTATAGCATATCTAGATTTAGAAAAAGTATACAACAGAGCAGATCATGATTACATATTCAAAGTGGTAGGAAAAATGGGGTTCCCAGAGAAAACTGTATGTTGGATAAAGTTATTGTATAGAGAAGGGGAGAGTCCAGACCAAATCTACGGACATCTAAGGGGGGGCTTTTAAAATCGATACAAGGGTGCCCCCTGTCACCACTATGATGCGTGTGTGACATGGAACTGTCAGCACAAAGAATAAGGAAAGACAAGGTCATAAGCGGAGTAAAGATACTGAGAGGGGGAGAGGTAAAATGCATGTTCTACATAGACGATATAAATGTAGTAGTTAAGAGATAGACTTTTGATGGAAAAAGTGCTAAAGCATATACTAGCATATGGAGAAGCAACAGGGGCTACACTAAATAGGCTGAAATGCACCATAATGGGAGTAGGGAACTGGAGGGACTTGGAGAAGTTGGACCTTCAAGTAAGAGGAAGAGAATTAAGAATGCTAGGGATCTCACTGGACACCAAGGGGGAAGGTAATACAGCATGGGAAAAGGTGATGGCGAGGATATGACAAATATAATTATGGTCTAGAAGGACACTGTTCTTTCCTTGAAAAGTGGCAGCAGTTAAGGCTGTGCTACTGCAAATTATTCTATATACAGGAATTGCATTTCCACCAACGTGGTGGCAGAGAGCAAAAGTACAGAGGGAAGTATGTGTGTTCTTCTGGAATGTCAAAAGAGAAAGGCTGGCTAGAGCCGAACTGTGCAATGCAAGAGAGCTGGGGGCGCTCAGACTTTGGACTGTTCATCTGTGAGAGATATACAAGTGCGATATGAAAGATGGTAACAAAGGGAGAGGGGAAAGCAGTGTATATCATCCAATTTCACTCAGCTGCAATTTTGAGGAAATGGGGAATATATCAGACCTTTCTAAAGAGGCCAGGGTGCGGCAGTTGCCAATTCATTACATCAGGATGGAAGGTTTCATGCAGAAATATCAAATAGGGAAGGCAGGGCTGAAGAGAGTGCTGGAAGCTGGGGCTGCACGAACTAAAAAACTACACTGATCGTGACAAGGAAGAGATCAGATTAGGAGAGGCAGAGAAGCGGAGGGAAAAGGACTAGACACACTTATGTCACTGAACCAACAGACAGAACTGCTGAGAGGAAGAGAAGGATTTCAGGTGGTTACTGAGGCAATAGTTTTTCATGGGTTTCTCTATGAAGAAAGTGCTCTAAGGTTTTTTTTGTGAGAAGTTGATGCATGTTGCTTAAGGGGTTTATATATGTAGTTGTATGCTTTTGGATATATAGTTGTTTTTATTTATATGATATTTTGGTTAAACAAGGATGCTCAATGTATGAAGCTGTGAAAGTATAGGGTGATAAGTGTGGTTTTAAGAAGATTTGTAAATAAATTTAAAAAGAAAAAAAAAGTTCCCATCAGCATGTTTGCTCAATAAGGGCCATGTGTTTTATAGTAATGTTCAGTGCTGGCTGCATTTAGTCGACCTTTGGCAGCAATTTAATGATAGACAATGCATTTAATGAGATTTTTTGTATGCATACGAGGGACTTGTCCCCCCCCACGCCAACTGGTGGCAAAAATCTCATCTTGTATTTGAGTAAATATGGTACAAGTCCTTTTTGTCAGAATAACTTCCCTGTGGCAGAATATAGTTGCACGGTGATTGCTGAAAGTGGAATTAAACAGCCCTCCATGCCGGTCCCAGCTTCTTCCCTCCATGGATCTCAGTTTCCAGGAAACGTTTCTGTCTCTCACGTTTCTCCTGCAGGGCCCTGCAGACGTAGGCCTCCTGGTGTCAAACCCTTGGACCTCTACACTAAAACCCCTCAGAAGGACACTGTCTCCATAACAGCTGCCATTTGCAGGACAGAAGTCACCAGAAGCAGGCAAGCAATAATCCCCAAGGAAACGGCTTCTGCATCATCTCCTCTTGTCTAGTAACGATGGCAACACCCTCTACTGGCTGGGGGCTGTAATGACGTGTTCCAGGGGTTACTATAATGTACATGGGCCGAGGCGTAGGGTATACAGGTATGGGGCGGGGAGACGACTTGCAGCCTCCCTCAAACAGGGACATACATAGCTCTGGGCGCACTGGGCAGACTTCTAGCAGATATATGAAATAATGCAAGGGGAAAGTAGGAAAAAGGAAAGCATAAATGGAGGGAAAACAATTAAATCACTACCATTATGATCATTCTTAGAATGTTGATGTCATTAATGCCTGTATTGACCAAGTATTATTTTTTTAATTATCCATAAAAGGGAATCACAGAAGCACAAGGCAGTATAAGGAACTTAAAAATGAGGTACAATGTAAAAAACTCTTATAGTATTATAGTAGTGGTTCAGTTTCAAAATAAAAAGGAACATCATTTGAACTACCTATAATTTATCAGAAAGCCTTTTGAAGGACTGAAGTGCAGCCGTAATACTATTTTAAACATTACTCTAAACATCTCACTGTTCATTCTAAGAGAAAGCATTTCACAAAACTGTCTCTTCCAATTTTTCCCAAAATTTCCAGTTTTTCCACATCAGGCCTTGGGATGGAGTTTGGACAGGGGTTCTCTCAACTCCTCTGCCCCAAAAGTATTTTTTCCAGACCCTCTAGCCTTGTAGTCTTCAGTACCAACCATAGGGTTAGAAGCACACACTGTACAAAATATATTTATAGGCTCATACCATAGACATAGCATACTCATTAGATTGGATGTTTAGTAAAGTACTTCATTTCTTGCCCTCTCCACAGTAAGGAGGCTGTGCATTTTACCTTTTGCGGTGCTTGATGCAGATGCTGGTCTGGATGACCTCTTACGCTGTCCATTCTCTACATTTTCCTGTGAAGCAGCAGAATCCTCTGTTCTTGAATTTCTTCTACTTGGAGTTTTAGACTTTTCACAACTCTCTTTTGTCTCATTACTAATAAAGTGGGACAAAATATTTCTGATGAAGTGTAAGAAGAATTATGTTTTTCTATGCAACTCAGACAAGTTGGAGATGGACCAGTACCAGTTCCGGACCATTAGTACTGAAGATATGAAACGCTAGAGATACTGGAAGTTTTAGCAGATGAAGAATGACCCGAGTAAGTCAGAGCATAGTCCATTTCTATTAAAAAATTATCAGAGGATACAGAATTGAGAAGTCCTCAAAAGAGAGTACTTTCAATATTAGAAGACTGAGAAATTAGATGCATTTTAAATTGTCAGCTCTATTTTCCAGCAGATGCCACCATTACTGAAGTCTAGGAAAAGCAAACAAGTTACATTAGAAACTGCTATTATATGGGAATACAGAACTGAAATTGCAGATTAATTTAAAGAATTATATATTCAAGGGAGCATGTCATCCTAATGTACTATTAAATAATTACTTCACTGATCTCCCTAAATGATTTATTCCCAAACCAAAAAGGCTTTATTAAGGTGGTTTTAAAGTGTAAAGTTGGCAGCAATTTAAAGTGCAGTTCTGTTTATAAAAGGTTACTTTTAAAAGGGCATGGTGGGAAGTCCACGTTTATTTTGTCTCAATAAACACCAGGTCAGCAATGCTCTGTTTAAAATTACAACACCCTTTAACAAAAAAATCACTAACAAGTTTATAAATTCACCCTGGATGCTTTTCTTCTCCTGCACTGATATCAGTAAGTTTCTGCAGACTAAATAAAGTCTTCTGGGTAGAAACATGTTGCCTGTATCTCATTTGTGTCACTACACTTTTTTTAACAGCAGCACAAATGCTGAACAAATAGACAACAATACGATTTGTTGCAACTACACAAAAGAAAAAAGATCAGTGGCACAACAGTAACTGGTAACAGACTATGCTGCTTTACTGTGGTAGATGCCTATTACCTCTATGATTGCTCCCCTTGCTCAGTTAGACCTGTACCCCAGGTCTGGCTGGGCAAGAAAAAGCCCGTCCCCACTCAGAACCACTCTGCAATTGTAAGGAAACACGTCTGGCTGTGCAGAGAAAGCAGGCAACCACATTGCCCATCAAGGGCAGGACAAGGAGGGGGTGATGTGTTTTGCCCAGTGAAACAGATCAACTGTGCCATGACACAGCTGACCTGCTTCATTCAGCCTGTTTCTAGCCTCAGTGAAACTTCTGTGCAACCCTGTCTTCTGTGGGCTCGCACATATAACTACTGAACTAAACAATTCTGTTAATAATGCACAAAGAAAAACAGAATTAAGTTCATGCCATTTTGGATGTGATGGCTCTGCAAGACTTAAAACAATATATATTTTAATCAGAAAACAGAGAGAATATCTAATAGAATAGAATTGTAGACAGTTTCTTTTCAGAGATCATGTTTTAAAAGGAAAAAGCTTTACAAAAGTTTATAGCATAAAGCAACTAACATCTAAAACACAACAGTCAATTTGTGAACGCAATGATAAAAGCCAAACAGGCACTGCCAAGGGTGGAAATTCAGAGATAAAGCAAGCAGACAGGCAAGTAATTATCCCCATTATCCACAAGACATTAGAGGCACAGATGAGTTAAGTGACCTGCCTAAGGGATAGAGTAAGTATCAGACTCTGGCTCAAAACCCATTTGTAAATGCTTTGGTATTACATCCGATTCATTAGTTTTGTGCTTCTGCAGATAACCTGTCTTCCCATTTGTAATTTGCAAAATAGAGGTAATCACCATCTACACTGGAAGTGTAATGTGAAGCCTACCCAAATAATGTGTGTAACAGTACTATGTAAATATCAAGTCACTAGGGGAGACATAAATAAATAAATAAATGAGACTCAGGAGCGTGCACCTGAAGAAATGTAACAGGTTTATAATATCCACAGAAAAAACCTGTGGTAACTAAATTTTTTCCCTTCCAACTGTTATTTCCCCACCAAAGATACCAGCCTTTATGAAGTAAAAAGCAAAAAAACCAAATAAGCAAGTCCAGAGTTATTTCATGTGCCAAATGTGTCATTTTGTGAACCTGTGCATCTCCCAAAAATTCTCTCTCAAGCATTTTAAATAAACTGTCTATTGGAAGACTACCTCACACGTGAAATTTCAGAAGGCAGGGTACAGAAGTACCTTAGACTAAAGTGCTTGTACACTTGACAAAAATTGGCCATTTTTGCAGTTTAATTGCATCATGCTGTACATATACAAGGGTTTTTCTTACTATTTAAATAAGTTTACTACATTGCAAACTAAACCCCACCCCCTCACCACCACCATGAGAGAGGTGGGCTGAAGGGCACCCTGCTCAGAGCCCACCAGCAGCTTGCCCCCCATGAGTTGCCACTGGGCTGCACAGCCCCTGAGCTGCAGTGGGACCCAAGTCCTTGCCTCCATGGCAGCAGTATCCTCTGGGCATGGTGCTAACTGCACAGGTGCAGCCCCAGCTTGCAGGCAGCACCCACACAGCTAGCACCGCATCCAGGTGGCCCTGGGGGGGCACCGCCACTGCAGAGGGAAGGACCGGGCCCCGCC